CCTTCAATTCACTTAAACCCTCGCGGGGGTCAACCCCTTCACTTCACTTAAACCCTCGCGGGGGTCAACCCCTTCAATTCACTTAAACCCTCGCGGGGGTCAACCCCTTCAATTCACTTAAACCCTCGCGGGGGTCAACCCCTTCAATTCACTTAAACCCTCGCGGGGGTCAACCCCTTCAATTCACTTAAACCCTCGCGGGGGTCAACCCCTTCAATTCACTTAAACCCTCGCGGGGGTCAACCCCTTCAATTCACTTCAATTCACTTAAACCCTCGCGGGGGTCAACCCCTTCAATTCACTTAAACCCTCGCGGGGGTCAACCCCTTCAATTCACTTAAACCCTCGCGGGGGTCAACCCCTTCAATTCACTTAAACCCTCGCGGGGGTCAACCCCTTCAATTCACTTAAACCCTCGCGGGGGTCAACCCCTTCAATTCACTTAAACCCTCGCGGGGGTCAACCCCTTCAATTCACTTAAACCCTCGCGGGGGTCAACCCCTTCAATTCACTTAAACCCTCGCGGGGGTCAACCCCTTCAATTCACTTAAACCCTCGCGGGGGTCAACCCCTTCAATTCACTTAAACCCTCGCGGGGGTCAACCCCTTCAATTCACTTAAACCCTCGCGGGGGTCAACCCCTTCAATTCACTTAAACCCTCGCGGGGGTCAACCCCTTCAATTCACTTAAACCCTCGCGGGGGTCAACCCCTTCAATTCACTTAAACCCTCGCGGGGGTCAACCCCTTCAATTCACTTAAACCCTCGCGGGGGTCAACCCCTTCAATTCACTTAAACCCTCGCGGGGGTCAACCCCTTCAATTCACTTAAACCCTCGCGGGGGTCAACCCCTTCAATTCACTTAAACCCTCGCGGGGGTCAACCCCTTCAATTCACTTAAACCCTCGCGGGGGTCAACCCCTTCAATTCACTTAAACCCTCGCGGGGGTCAACCCCTTCAATTCACTTAAACCCTCGCGGGGGTCAACCCCTTCAATTCACTTAAACCCTCGCGGGGCCCTTCAATTCACTTAAACCCTCGCGGGGGTCAACCCCTTCAATTCACTTAAACCCTCGCGGGGGTCAACCCCTTCAATTCACTTAAACCCTCGCGGGGGTCACCCCCTTCAATTCACTTAAACCCTCGCGGGGGTCAACCCCTTCAATTCACTTAAACCCTCGCGGGGGTCAACCCCTTCAATTCACTTAAACCCTCGCGGGGGTCAACCCCTTCAATTCACTTAAACCCTCGCGGGGGTCAACCCCTTCAATTCACTTAAACCCTCGCGGGGGTCAACCCCTTCAATTCACTTAAACCCTCGCGGGGGTCAACCCCTTCAATTCACTTAAACCCTCGCGGGGGTCAACCCCTTCAATTCACTTAAACCCTCGCAAACCCTGGCAAACCCTCGCCCGAGCCAAGGCCGCTCCGGCGTCTCGAATCTGCGCTCAGGTCACTTTGTGATCGAGGCAGACGGCTGCGACATCACATCGCAAAACTCGATCCGAGGGTAGGTGCAACACATTCAATGCAGCTTAGCCAAACCGACAAGAATCACTAAGTCGTAACACCCTTGTAGAGTCTACAAAGATGGCCTGCCATGTCAGACAGCTCCGGAGCATCGCTTTTCACTTTTCATGGTGACACAAGTAGGGCGCCCAAGACCTCGGACTCACTGGCATCCCTGTTCCCGCACCTAGGAAGTCGGTCCCATGGCACACATCGCGGGTCCGAGCTGCCGGGGCTGTCGAGAAGTACCAGTTCCACTGGGTGCTTGATCATTGTTGGGGCATTGTCAAACTAAACCTGCCTACCAACTGATGAACAACTTCTAAGGCAACATGTACACGCCTCTGTCAGAGAACACAAGCCATTACGACAACTGTCCACAACGTCCACACGTGCTGCTCTAAAGGCAAATGTCGGACCGAAAGTTGCAGTGCAAAAGGCAGTGGGCAGCGGCCAGTTATGGCCACCTTGGGCCAACAACAGGGCCCAGACTTAGACTTAGACCCCGTGCCAAAACACAGACCCTACCCAACCCTACCCATCGAGCTATCGCTGCTAAGACCTAAGCTGCTTCACGGTGTCAAGTTCATCATCTGGTCTTAAACCACCTTAAACCTTCGGCCAAGGGTGAGATATGACGGTGCCGCACGAGAGATGTTGCTGGTGCCAAGTTGTCATTCGGCAACCATTAAGCAACAAAGTCATAATCTCACTGTCATCTTTTGAATGGCTGATGTCAAATGCTTTGTTGTAGCGACTTTGCATAAAGTTCTGGGCCCTGCTACGAACGACTCTAGGGCTTAGGCGGCTTAGGGTGGCAGTCCCAGGGGCAGGTGCTCAGGTGGCTGAGCACCTCGTCGAATTCTGCAGAAATCACTTGGCACTCCGATTTTTTGGTGACTGGGCTGGCATTTCGGTCACCCCAGTGCTGATCCCTCTTGCACCCTGGCACACATTTGTGGATGTTGCCGGGAGCACGTTGGACTGACGACTCTATGACAATCTGCGAGAAAGAGCTATCATGCAGGAGCCATCCGGCATCGAGGAGAGCTGCGAAGTAGCTCCAGGCCGAATCCGAATCTGGGCGATGGCAATGCAAGTCCACGGTCGGTTCGCATCGCCTTGAGCACGGGAACCCCGTCCTCCAGTGTGAGTTTTTGCTCGATCTAATTATATAATTATACAAGTACGCTCCCCAAATGTCACATATCTTGACTGCGCAAGATATGTCTACTATCCTACGCTACAACTGCTAGACACAGGCCCACGCTCTGCAGGAGATCACGATCATGCTAGTGAGTAGAAGCAACGCAGTCATGCTGGCCCGTGCTGGCCTTGGCCTTCTGCAGGGTCTTCTGCCTGTCGCTCGGATCCTTGACAGGATCGTTCTCGACATTTGGCAGCCTTTGGAATCGTGGGGAGCTCAACCATGGTGAGGCCACTAAGCCTGGCGTTGCAGCTTACATTTGTGGTCTTCCTTGCAAAGCTTTGCAAAAATCTCAGGCCTGGCAAGGAATCTGACGTGAAGTCCTGTAAGACCTCGACCCCAACCACCAGGTTTGAGAGCTCACCGGGCTCCTCGAGAAGCATGCTTGATTGAGGCCGTTCGATTATAACACCTCGCGTTTGTAGTGTTCGTGCTCACGAGACATGCAAGCAGTCGTCAAAGGCTTGAAGCAGAAGGCTTCGAGTTACTTTTTGCATCGGGACAGATCGTTTCGGCATTGCTTGTCACAAGCACTGTCTGTGGATGCGTATTTGTGTGGGATGCGGTGGGAATCGACACAGTCCTGGCTTGCATGCATGGAAAAGGGCGGGCCAACTGATAAAGTCTGGAATTCTTCGAGGCACCGCAGGGAGGCAGCACATTCGCCGAGGTCTCCTGTTGTGGAGGTGTCCAAATCTGATGCACCATCGATCCAGTCGGTTGCCATTGGCAAGTCCTGACCTCTGACCACTGAAATCCTGAATCACGAAACAGCGAGTGTCACTGAGATTTGCACCTGTTCCATCAGTTGTCACTTCAAACGCCACTGACTGAGAGGCCGTCCCACGTGAAGTCGAAATCGCAGCTTGGTGCCCTCCGGCATCGCTAGCCCAATGGCGCACCATGAGTCAGCGTTCAGTCCACCCAGGTCCATGCGAACTCGTGCTTTCTTCGTCGCATTCCCGAAGAGACCATTAGGCCAAAACCTGCCCAAAGACAAAACCGCTTGAAGAATTGGGGACGGAATTTATCGGTCAAGCTTGTCGGCTCCGCGTCCGAGCAACTCAGAATACGGTGATCCAGTCCGTGCTTTGAAGTGCGAAAAAAAGGCGCGAGGGATATCTTCCATGATGGGTTCTAAGGCTTCTAAAAGCAACGTCCACACTGGGCCAATGCGAACTTATCAGGGAACACTCCAAGCCACACAAGCTTGCCTCAAAGCTGCCGTTTGCCGACCTCATCCGTCTGGAAGCTAGACTCAAGCAGACTGATTCTGCATATTACCAAGCTAACAACATGCTGTCAGGCTCCGGAGCACAAGGTACACTCGTCATTGTCAAAGCGTTGCATCTGTGCCGCTTCAGCGCAGGCGATGCATCGAAGAGCTTTAGATTCGTCTAGATATGAAGTGGTTTTCGTGACGTACTACCGTGGCCGAAAACTTGGCCTCGCGACGTTCAAAATGCCTTCCGCTGGGCTGTCGCCGGTTGCACGGATCCCTTCTAAAGCCTTAAGACAACAAACGAACTTGTGCAGAAACGCATCTGCAAAGTGGCTACCGACCGTTTCTAGCTCGAGATGTCAATTACTGTGTTAGACCAACTGTAAGGTACACCATCGATCACCATCGGCCGGTTGACTGTCTAGTTTGGAGCTTTGCAGGCATGAAACTTACGGGACACTCTCCTCCAGCTAATCCCGGTAATTCATTCATGACATATTTCGGCCCTGCCAGCTCGGCCCATCACTCATGTCTGCGCTGTGTCCTGCGTCGAACTCAACACCACGTTCATGCATCTGCACTTGGAAAACACGTTGCAGGAAGCAAGTTTGGGATCTTCGAAATTGATGGCTAGCTTCTTCAAGTTATGCCGCACCCATTTCCCTTAGCGTGAATGTGTCGAAGTATTGCGTGCACGCAAGAATTGAGGCTACTTTTGGAATCGATCTACAACAGCATTAAAGAAAACAGCGTTAGCTACTGCGCATCCCCCTGATCCCCTACTTGCTCCTGCTAGGGAGTTATCTGCGACTTCTGCTACTGCTACTGCTACATCCTAATAGCCCAGCGAAAACACACAAAAGCTATTCAAAAGCTCGGGGAACTAACAAATCCCCTATCACAAGTGTTTTGCACATGCTGTCGCTTTTGGCTTAGCAGTTTCTAGTTTCTTCCATGTCGTTCTCGCAATCCACCAGTAGTTGCGCTAGCGAGTGCAAACGCAAGGGGCCGGCAATCTAAGATGACTGCTCCTCCCCGCAAGTAGTGCAAAATGACCAAGATTACCAAACCTGAACCCCATGCCCGGGGAAACCAAGCCTACCAAGATTACAGACACACTCTAGTGGTTCTAATTTGCAGGCGCAATGTTCTAGTTCTAGCAGCAGAAGCAGCAACAGTAGTGGAAGTGACAGATAAGGCTCTAGCAGGAGCAAGAGAAGAATCAGAAGGATGAGCAGTAGCTGATGCCCATTTTCTTCGATGCTGCATGGTTCGATTCTAAGCATACTTCGACAGCTTCACTCTGGCTTCCCTGTAAGGGGAAATGGGTCCGGCATGGTCGGGCAGCGATTTGAAGAAGGCAACCACAACGAGCATTCACAATGCAAGCAATTTCAGAGGTCCATGGAGGTCCCAAACTTGCGTCCTGGAACTTTCGCGGAAACGATCCCGTCTTCAATGGTATGCCAACACATGCTTTCTAGTCGCCTGTCAGCAGGCCAAGGTAACTGCTTGCGGGCCAGCTGCCGAGCCGGAAATGTGCAGAAGATATATACCTCTGTCATCAGCAAATTGAATGTTTCAACATGCATCAAGCCGAATGCTTGCCACGGCAAAGCGGTCACAGCCAGAACGCACTCACGGACACACAGACAGACACTTGAAGTGCCGCAGGGACGCTGCCCCGCCGGCACAAGCAAGCTCCTGTACTTCACCTGCACCGTCTTCATGTCCACCTTCAAGCGTCGAATAGTCCAGTCGGCCCGCAGCACAGGCTCCTCGGTACAAGCGCTTAGCTTCCCAACGTCAGGGTCGTAGAACACACTGCACAAAAAACGCAGGCAGTCGAAGGGCTTGTTCAACTCATGCTATGCTATCCCTCGAGTTGATGTACTGCCGACACTGACTTGTGGCCCCTTGGTCAGCGTTGTCGTGCAGAGCTCGTTCGCTCTGTCATCTCTTCTTTTGATGACTAATGACTAATTGTGACTGCTTGTCGGAACAGTCTTGCAGGGGCTCGTCAGCGGTGGGACTCCAAAGTGTCCGTGATTTACTTTGTGGCTCCTTGTTCCCTTTGGACTGAATCTCACCGGAAGGCAGCTGGTCGAAGGTTCGCACGCCGCCTCAAGATTGCTAAACAATACTGGTTTCAGGGGCGTGGGTGTATTGAGATTCAGCCCAACCTTTACTGACACACAGCGGCAGCCTGGGCCCGCAATCCTGTAAGCGAAAATTCTGAACCCCCAGGGATGATGCTTAACCTGTCTTGCCTCAGTCGTTTTGGGTCGTTTGAGCTAAGGCCCCAAAGCCCCAAGGCCAAGTCACCTGTGACTGGAGGGGGAGGCGGGGCCGGCACCAAGTCCAGCATCTCCTCCCATGGCTCCGGAGCGCGAGCGGGCCGCCGCCCGCCTCTGCATGGAACACAAGGCCTCTAAGAGACTCAGAGTGCCTCTGGCTCTGGCCTCTTGAGAAAGGCCGGCGTCGGTGCAAGCGGGGAGAGGCAGCCCGATCGAACTCGACCTTCACCGAGTCCGGGCTGCCGAGCTGAGCCTGGGAGCTTTGCAACTCGAGCGGAATGAAAAGAAGACAAGAAGATGCTGGGTTTCTGAGATCGATGCTCGCTGCTGCAAGGAGTTGGGCGAGTCGGGGCGCCCGACATCTGCCATGAGATCTCAGCGCAGCCTCGTGTTGAGGCCGTGCATCGCATGCAATCGACTTCGCCGATTGCAGATGTCTGGACTAAACTCCCCTAAGCCAGAATCAGCGAATAGCGTCGACCTGTGCATGAGTCTCCTGATCTGACTGCAGATTCTCAAGCTCTGCAGCACCTGAAGTTGCCTGAAGCATGCCCAGCTTTGCTGCACGACATCTTGGTGGGTCGTCGTTACAAATTTCAATCCTTGATCATATTTGACCAGGCATACCGGCCGCATACAGCAATAGGCAGCCACACGGCTAGAAACCCTGTCGAAAATGGAGTTGAACATGGTTGGCGTCAATGAAAGATTGCAGAGAACTTGGCAACCTTGCCAGAATTTCTTCAGATCAGAAGTCCATCAGACCAAGAGCCAGAGGGGCACCCTCTGTCTGTGCTGACGTGGCACCCTCTGGGCACCCTTCGACTGTCGCTGTTGTGCGGACGCGGAGAGTCCAGCCCGATCTCTCTGCGAGCTCTCTGCTCGTTGCCCCGGGGGCCGCCGCCAGCGGGGTCCCAGCACACGCTGAGTCGCTGCGAATGTCTGCGAGGTCGTCTCTGCCCACCGCTGCGTCGCTGTATGCTCGAGCTCAACTGACTTTGGGCTTACATCGGCGATCTGCCAAAGCCCAAGCAAAGAACAGGATACACGTCCTCTCGCAGAGGGTCAGGCTTAAAGGTGAGGCTGGACGGCACTGTGCAAGCGGCGGCTGTTCATTCGACCAATGTAGAGGCTCGAAACGATTTCATTAGTGCCCTGTCCAGCAGACCACCCACAGCACGAAGACCACCAATCCCCAACCTGCAGATGGCTGCTTCTGTGCTTTGAGTCTGCTGGCAGTTCTCCACTCAGCATCCCTGAGCACAATGCACTACGGCCTAAAACCTCGTTCATGCCGCTGGCGACGAAGACGAACACGAATATGTAAGGATGCAGAGGCACCTCCGAATCGCATGACAATATTTGCTGCTGAAAAACCCAGGGTCTGGCGCTAAAAACACAAGGCATACTTTGTACACACAGAGGCTCGGGCGGACAAAGATCTTGCACCTGAATGAACCGGCGGGGCCCCAGCCCCAGGTGCCAGCCCGTGAGAAGCACAACGGCTGCACTTCACCGGTTGAGCTGAACATCAAGGACGAACCAGGCACTCGCCCCTGCACTGCCGGAGATCCGGGATTATCAAGCTTGCAGTCGGAGCATCCTTTTAATCGTGGAATGAGCGACTGAGCCACCAGTGCCTCGTACTGCCACGCAGAGCCTGTATCTTGCTGGATGAGCTGTGCCAGGTACCAAATCTTCGCTGAGATGCGCAGTCAAGCTCACACGAGGCAAATGCGTTCCGGCAGCCAGAAGCTTGGAAGCTCTGCACGAACGGGCCAGTGCGAAGTGCAGGGAGTGCAGAAATCAGGGGCACAAACAAATTTAGCAGAGCTAATTCAGCCCGCGGAGTGTCAAAGGAAAAGCTGTGCGGCTTCGGTGTAGATGACAACGGGCGTTGCCGCTGAGGTGTGTAGCCATGAACATGACAGTTGACACTCCTCGCGCACGTGCCAAATCCCTGCCACGCCACTACTCCCATGGCGCTGCCCTGCAAATCAACTTTTAGCGTCTAGATCCGATGAATTTGGCGCACGTTGAATCCACTTGCCAGACATGGTGCCAACAACAACGATGTTGAACAACGTAAAGGCAAACTTATCCAAAAGCACGATATCTTTGGATCCACGTGCTGTTGCCACCACGGCCGTGCTGGTATTCTACATAAACATTGGGCGCCCCAGCAACCCTATGATTTGCCTATATTATCTATATGTTCTGCTTGGAGATGCTACGGGTCCACATGGTCAAATCATCATCGTTCTCACCATTTCCTGGGACTTTCACAGTGCGGCGGATCGCTTACGCTCTCCTGACGGCATTGTGGTATTGGCTGGACAGAGATCAAAAGTCGGTGCAGCTATGTGCAGATGTAACTGGTCTGTGCCATACACACCCCTATCTGCCAGACGCAACTGGCGAGTAGTTCTGGTTTTAGTTGCTCCGCAGGTCTCTGCACCACAATCTCTGTCCAGCAGGGCCTGGTGCATGGCTTGGCAGCCCTTTGGGACAAGCAAGCACAAGTGACCGAAAATGACAGTCCAACAGGCATGATGGCGGTTGATGCACTCGCCAAAACATCGAAATCTAGTTTTTCAGCTTGCCGCTCTTCGCGGAGGGCAGGATTTCCTGGTCTCCTCTATGCATTCAGCAAGAAGGCGACAAGCAAATCAGCTTGGGCAGTCTCAGTCTAATCCATTCTTCCAGGCCTCTATGACATGACATACCGAACACGCAGCTCATGTTTTGAATGTTCCATGGAACCTTATAGAACCGACATGTGGCTAAACCAGCATGGTGCGAAGTAGCAGGAATGGACTAGTGGAGCTTGCCGTGCGAGCTGTAGCTTCAATGGCCAGCAGCCAGCTTGGATCGCATCTGACCCTTGCAAACACTTAGCAAGCCATCAAGCTGCCGCTTGCGGCAACCCTTGTAGCGTGGAGTTGCTAGAACTGCGCAGCCGTAGCTTCTCAAGGTCAGATCTCCGTAGCTGCCTGCATCACGGAAAATCTCCGCGTTTGACCAGTCACTGGTGTACAACGCCTTTCCAAATTCTGTCATTGCAAGGGTCCAGCGTCAAAATTCGATGCTCCACTGGAAATGCAATCTATCAACCTCCCGTTGTCTGAAACAAACAAGCGGAGCCCGCTGGCCCTGATTGCGCTAGCCACGGGTGGGCTAGCCGTCGTGTTTGCCGAGCCCTCATCTTGGGGGTAGCAAACCTCATGGCGCAGCACCACAAATGGGCCCGGCTGCCTAAGTACAGTGCTTGGACGAGCTGTTGCGCCAGCATGAAGGCTGACAGGATTTCGGCATAAACGGTGTTCTGCAAATAATTGTACAGGAGCCTCTGCGATGTGTCTGTTTCGGTGTGATGTGGTGTGGCGTGGTGCCCGGTAGGTTGGGTGGGTTGGGTGGAGGTTCGAGTAGAGGGGGGTGCGGCAGGGGCATCCGAAACCTGATCGTGTCAACTATGATGGAGATTTGAAAAGTGGCAGACCACCTAATTACATAAATTGACCGACTCCCCAAGAACGTCTTCGTGGCGCGCGGTGGCTGGACACAGCAGCAAGATCAGAGCTCTCATCATCATCCCGAATCCTCAAGCACAATGATTGATGATACTGTGAGCGCAAACTTTTCTGCCGAAGCTTCGACAACACTTTCGCTAGCATGAAGTAGCACATGACCCAGGCTACTGCGGGGGGCACGTGCCGATGTGGTACATGCCAGCGAAGCTATCCACCATGCCGGGAAGAGGTCCAGATGCGGAGCATGAAGGATGTCTGCATACATATGCAATTCTCGCAGTGTGCCGATGATGCTCGTTGCTTGTGTTCTTGCTGGCTGGGACTACGTGTACAGGTAGTGAGCACGAGAACGCTGGTACACAATGGCACACGTCTCAATTTGGATGCGACGATTGTCCGATCTCAACAACTGTTTGACCTCGCCGACCGACAAAATCAAAAAAAACGCGCGCTCGCGGCGTGCGTGTGTGTGTGTGTGTGTGTGTGTGTGTGTGTGTGTGTGTGTGTGTGTGTGTGTGTGTGTGTGTGTTTGTGTGTGAAGCTTTATCGATGAGTCGATGGGGGATCAATTAAAAGCAGGGGGACTGCCTGATCTGCAATAGTGGCAGTGCAGTGCAACGAAGAAGCTGTTACACGTCACCGACATGAGCTGGGGACGCCTGGCTCACGAGAAGAATGAGCGCAACAGATCTCTAAATAATCTCCGACATACGGATTCCAAGATGACGGGACGGTGTCCACTCGTGCTCCTATGTACAGCATCTCTTACAGTCTATAACACATACCAAACTGGTGAAGAGAAGCTGCAGTTCGCCTGCATACCAAACTTTTGAGTGTTTCAAGAAAGGAGAAAGCAGGCAGGAGGGTAAGAAAGGCGGCTGAGCCCGCGAAGCTTTTCAAACAAATCTCTAATGCCAAAACCAAAAAGCATGGAAAACTAGGATGCTGAAACAGAAAGGAGCGTGGGGGCTGCGGCTTTGACCTGCGAACTACCAGGCTGACCAATCACAGCAAACAGGAATACAGGACAGGTCGTCGCAGGAAGTCCACACAGTTCTGGAAAGTCTTAGGTCCTAGGTCGTCGGATGCAGTCCGAATGTTGTCTTGATAAGACTCGCTTGATAAAATGCACCAGTCGTCCCTTTTCCTGCAGCTTCTGTTCTTGATCACCCTTTCGCTTGACTGTCTGGACACTCTTCCCTTTCCATCTCACCGTTGTCGTTCAATCATACCTTTGGTACAGACTCCATTCGTCCCCCCCCTCCAGTTTCGTTTGTGCATCACCCGTTCACTTCAACGTCTCATCCTTTCCTATCATCTCACCCGCCTCCAGCGTTGAAACTGTAACATCCGTGGCTCAACCGATACCCCGGTATCGCCTGTCGCTAGGGCATCTAAACAAGCAGGGGGTAACAGTGGCCGTCCAACGCAAAGGTTGCTACAGACCGTTGATCTGAGCCGGGGATGCCGCTCACGCACGACGCGTTCCAAAATCGCAAGAGATTGACATCGAAAGAGGAGGTTTGGTTGAAGTGTTTTACCAGCCAACCCCATGAATAGCATCGGCTGTATTGAGGGTCGTCGCAAGTGTGTGCACCCGTGTGCGTGTGTGTAGCATCCTGGCACCCTAGAACTCACACACTCATCGTTCGCAGCATGCTTTGCAACAGAAGCCAACGTTTTGCAAGACAGAACTGAACGTATTCCAAGAAACAACTTTCTCACAAGCAGCATGTGATGGCGACAAGTGTCCGACGTAGCTACGAGTGACAGGGGACGAAAGGCTGTTCACCTACCGGGCCAAGATTAGCTTGCTGCTCGGTGTGAAGGATAAAACGT